CAGCACGTCATTGCGAAGCTGCTTCCGCGCCTTACCACTCGCATCACCTGGGAAGCGAGGAGGCGCGATGTAGTACAGGCCGCCGGCACCGTCTGCCAGCGGAGGGTCGTGCGGGATCATGCGAAGCCGCAGGCCTGGCGCCGCCAGCTGCAGCTGTCGAGCTGCCCGCGCCTGCTCTGCGCTCCGCCGCCTCTCGCATCCGTAGTCCGGCAGGTACAGCGCGATGGAGTCGCCCTTCTCGCGCTCCGCCCCGGCCACGGCCACCAGCTGCAAGGCGGCCGCGTCGGGGGTCTCGTCAAGGCCCCACGGGACCCCCTCCCCCGGACGGTAGTCATCGCCGATGATGTCCTCGATCGTGATGTTCGCCAGGGAGTGAGCCTGCTCGCGCAGGAACTTGCCGTGGGCCTCGTTCTCTCGGGAGGGGCCATCACCAAGGGCCGCGCTCCGCCCCGAGAGATTCATCAGCCTGCTGCCGTCGCTCTCGATCTCGCCAACCCAGCGGATGACGGTGGAGTCCGTCTCGGCCTCGCCCGTAGCGTCCTTCACCGCTGCCGCGTGGTCCGTCCAGCACAGGGCGGGCAGCCGACCGAAATCCTTACGTGCCTCCCGCCTGGTCTCGCGCTGCGCATACAGCTCACCCCGGCGGGGGTGCCAATTGCTCTGCGCCAAGCTGAGGCAGCCGCCGTACATCGCCAGCACGTTGAGCGTGCGGCGGTCGGCGGCCAGCTGATACACGCTGCCACCCCAACCGTAGGGGCAAAAATCCGCGACCTGCTCGAGCGGGCGGTCCTTCGAGATCGCCCCGACCATGTCGATCACCGCGAGGCGGATGGCCTCGCACGCGAGCTGCTGGATGGCGCGCTGGGCCGCAACCTTCTCGGAGGTCATCGGCCACTCGGCGTCCTTCTTGAGCTGCTGCGTGAGGATCCCCAGCGGCTTCTGCACCTCCTTGGGGAAGTGGCCGCGGATCCAGTTGAACGTGCCGAGGAACCGCCGCAGCGCTGCCACGTCCTCGAGCACCGACCAGTTCTTGATAAGCTCCAGATGCCGCTCGCACGCCTCGCTGCCTTCGCGGCCCACGATCTCGCCGAGCGCCTCGATGGAGGGCTGAGCCAGCCTGTCGAGGGACTTCTCGGCACCCATGGAGTACCCGGCCGCGATGCACACGTCCAGCAGGCCCTCGACCGCCAAGAGATGCTCGAGGAGGGTGGTGGCCGCCTTCGGGTACTTCCGCTGCCAGTAGACTAGACGCTCGGCGTAGTACTCGTCCGTCGGCACCTCCAGCTCAACGATGTCCCGCAGCTCGTCCCAATCCTGCCACACGTGCGCCACTGACGGGTCGTCGCCGGCCGGCTCGCCGTCGGTCTGGATCACGGCGCCCACGATGTCGCCGACCTCGATGCTGACGCCGGGCTGGTCCCAGTTGCCGACCAGGACGAGCTGCTCCCGGCCGAGCCAAGGGCCGGGGGCGGCCCAGACGGCCGCCGCGCCATTCGCCACCACGTCGCCGACGATACCCGCTGCGAAGCCGCTAGCGCGGGCTGGCACCAGAGCGCAGTCGCCGAGCTCCAGCCGCACGCCCTCCTCGCCGCTCAGGTAGATGGGGACGGCGGACTCCGAGTCGTCGAGCACGATCACGCCTGTGTCGCCGCCGCCGAACTCCGCGGGGCACTGGCCGCCGACCATGCAGATGGGGTAGCTCGGGCAGGCCGCGCCGGACCACACCAGGGATCCTACCGCACTGGCAGCCCGACGATCCTCACCTCGACGCTTATCGGCATCGCACTCTGAGAACACCGCCGAGATGGTCAACAGCTTCGCTTGCACCGCGTCGGCCTCCGCACGCTTGACCGTGATGCCCAGCCCCGGCAAGTAGTGGCCCTGTAGCGTAGGCCGGTGCCCGATCCCCAGAGGGGGTGCATCGAGCGCTGGGGCCCCAAGAATGATAAGAAACGGCCTGTCCCAACCCCCGCGCAGAAGCCGAAGGCGAAACACGCGCACCACTCGCGTACCATCCAGCCCCTCGAAGGCCAGGCGCAGGTCCACCATGCCACGAATCTTCAGGTCGCCCTTGTCCGCCACCGACGAGGCCTTCGAGTCCCGGCCCCAGTGCATCAGGCCCGCGATCGGCCAGTCGGGGTCCTCAGGAGACTTGCCCTCCGCGATCGCGCTGTTGATGATGCTGACGATCGTCGCCTCCCACGTCAGGGAGAACACCGCCCCGCCATCAAGGAGCGTCCTGATGCTGAGGCCGTAGACATGCGTGTGGCACAAGTAGTGGTACCCGTCGTCGGGCTCCTGCACCTGCGTCCAGGCGCTGGCGGGGATCTGGTCCAGGTCCTTCAGCGCTCCTTCGGGCGAGGGCGAGCCCCTGACGACGCTCACCTGCGGGAGGTCGTAGCTCGGGCCGAAGACGCCGCCACAGGGTCGCACCCATTCGAGCTTGCCCCCCGCCGCAGCTTGCACCTTCGGCGCCGCGCCAGAGGCTGCGGGCCGCGCCGCCTCCTCGGCCGCAGGCGCTGCTCCCTGGCCGCTGCCGGGGGAGCCCGCGCTGCCGAGGCTTGGCGGCGGCGCCTTAGCTGCGGCCGCGCCAGCGTAGACCGCTGCAATGACCTTCTGAGCTGCCTTACCCGAGTGGCTGAACTTGCAGTCCTTCTCGCTCTTGCTGCACGCACCCCGGAGGAACTGCAGGCAGAGCTGCGACTTGAGGCCGCCCTTGCCGCCGTCGTCCGAGCCCTTGCCCTTCTTGCCGTCCGCGCCCTTGCCCTTCGGCCCGGTCGCGTCCTTCTTGGTCCTCCGCGACTCGGCGATAGCCGCCCGGTCGTGCGAGAACCTGCAGGCGTCGCCACGCGCACACGTGCCGCTGTCCCTCATCTGGAAGCAGACCTTCGCAGCACCCTCAGCGCCGGCGCCGCCGGAGCTGCCAACAGCGCCGACCTCGGGCGGCTCCTGATCGCCGCCACCGCCACCGCGCCGACGCCGGCCACCGCCGCCGCCCGGGCTGGGCGCGAAGTCCGAGCCCACCGCCGCGACGAGCGCCTTGGCCGAGCTCTCGGCCTCCTCCAGCTTCAGCAGCACGCGATGGGCCTCCCTCCAGGTCTCGACGCCGCGGACCTCGGGCTGGGCGCCAGAGCGCTGATACACTCGGCGATCCTTGAGCACCTCTGCACGGTGCGAGGGAGGGATGAGCGCCAGGTAGCTGAGCAGCAGGTCGCGATCGGACTTGCCCATCCCAGCCAGCTCCATCTCCGCCACGATGTTCTCGAACGTCGCCTGAAACTCCAGCGCGCTCATCTTGCCGCGGGAGAGCGTCCTCCACTCGGCGTTGAGCCGCTGCTGCTTCTCCAGCAAGCCCTCCTTGAACTCCATCAGCCGCTCCTTCAGGCTCCGGTACACCTCGTCGGGATCCGCCGCCAGCCTGCCTGACCGGCGAGCCTGCTTCAGCTCGACCTTGTAAGCCCGCTGACGCGAGCCTTTCAGGCAGGTCCCCAGCACACGCACCATCTCCGTCGCCGACATCCCCGCACCGTCGTTGGCCAGCCCGACCATCTCCTCGAACTCCTCCACGAACGAGTCCACGTCGAAGTCGCCGTCGCCGAGCGTCGGCAGACTGTAGTGCGGCTTCACCTGGATCGTGGACGACTTCTTGTCGGCCCGCCGGCCGAGCGCCCCCGCGAGGCCCTGCAGCGCTGCCGCCAAGCTGGGCTCCGCCGGGCCCGCCTCGGTCGGCCCGCCCCGCGGGGGAAGCCCCGGCGGCAGGTCCTCGCCGAAGGCGGGGAAGGCGGGTGGCCCCGCGGGAGCCGCGCCGACGCCGGTGGGCCCGGCGGGCGGGGCTCGGTCCTGCGGGGGCCGCGCCGGCGCCCCGCCGGCCACGGCGTCGCGAGCGCTGCCGCCGCCGCGCGCCACCGCGAGGAGGTCCATCAGCGCCCGCACGTCCTCGTCGGCGTCGTCCGTCTCGATGTCCAGGACGGCGTGCAGCTTGGCCTCCAGCGCGGCCGCCACGCCCTCGCCGTGGGCCCGCGCCTCCACCAGGAAGCGGGCCTTCCTCATGCCGAACTCGACCGCGCCCTCCGGCACCGCCTGCCGCCGCAGCGTCAGCACGGCCCGCGCGCGCAGCAGACGCCGCTCGAAGTCGCGCATCGACTCGTGCGGCTCCACGTCCTTGAGCAGCCGCTCCAGGACCTCGTCGTCCGTGAGCGGCCCCCAGCTGCCGTCCGACAGGGCTCCAGTGGCGTCGGAGCCCGCGTCGGACGCGCGCGCCGGCGAGTCCAGCAGCCGCAGGACGTCGTCGGCCGCCGGCGGCTGCGCCGCCGCTGGCGTCGCAGGACTGCGCGCCGCGGCGGGGCCCTGCCGGCGCAGCCGCGCCTGCCAGTCCTGGCCGTGCAGCGCCTCCATGGTGCTCCGCCACAGCGCGCTCTCGCTGGCCGCGATCGCGGGCGCAGTGCGAAGCCGGCGACCTGGGCCGGCGCGCCACTGCACCCAGGCGCCGAAGGCCAGCAGCGGCGGCTGCGCCACGGCACCGTCGGCGATCGCCTCCAGCAGCGAGCCCTCGAAGCCGGCGACCTCCACGCCAGCGCCGGCGCCGGCGCCGGCTGCCGCCGCTGGGGCCGCGGCCGCCTGCGCCGACGGCGCGCCAGCCTCCGCGCCCGCCTCGGCGTCGCCCGAGTCGGCGTCGCCCAGCTCCGCGCGCGGCGCCCGCGCTGGCGACATCGCCCGGGCCCGGGCCCGCTCGGGAAGAGTTCCCGGAGCAGCCCCCACGTGAGGCTCACCTGGAGCCTCGGCCCCTCAGGGCCTCGAGAGCGGCCTCCTGGTGCCGCCCTCGGGCCCTATGGGCCCTCGCGGGCCCTCGGACCCCGGGCGGGCCCCCGCGCCTCCCCCGCGCCTCCGAAGAGAGGGAGGAGGGGGGCCTTTCTCCTCTTGAGCCACGCGGCAGCGCGGGGCAAGCAGCCGTCGCCACCGGGGCCGTCGTCGCCGGCCCGCACTCCGCCGCCTGTGCGCCCATGCCGCTCCTCAAGTAGAAGTAGTAGTAGTAGTAGTAGTAGTAGTAGTAGTAGTCGCAGCTCTGCCTCAAGTCGCAGCTGTGCCTGCAGTTCCTCCGGGGTGCGTGCAGCAAGAGCGAGAAGGACTGCAAGTTCAGCCACTCGGGTAAGGCAGCTCAGAAGGTCATTGCAGCGGTCTATGCTGGCGCGGCCGCAGCTAAGGCGCCGCCGCCAAGCCTCGGCAGCGCGGGCTCCCCCGGCAGCGGCCAGGGAGCAGCGCCTGCGGCCGAGGAGGCGGCGCGGCCCGCAGCCTCTGGCGCGGCGCCGAAGGTGCAAGCTGCGGCGGGGGGCGAGCTCGAATGGGTGCGACCCTGTGGCGGCGTCTTCGGCCCGAGCTACGACCTCCCGCAGGTGAACGTCGTCAGGGGCTCGCCTTCGCCCGAAGGAGCTCTGAAGGACCTGGGCCAGATCCCCGCCAGCGCCTGGGCGCAGGTGCAGGAGCCCGACGACGGGTACCACTACTTGTGCCACACGCATGTCTACGGCCTCAGCATCAGGACGCTCCTTGATGGCGGGGCTGTGTTCTCCCTGACGTGGGAGGCGACGATCGTCAGCATCATCAACAGCGCGATCGCGGAGGGCAAGTCTCCTGAGGACCCCGACTGGCCGATCGCGGGCCTGATGCACTGGGGCCGGGACTCGAAGGCCTCGTCGGTGGCGGACAAGGGCGACCTGAAGATTCGTGGCATGGTGGACCTGCGCCTGGCCTTCGAGGGGCTGGATGGTACGCGAGTGGTGCGTGTGTTCCGCCTTCGGCTTCTGCGCGGGGGTTGGGACAGGCCGTTTCTTATCATTCTTGGGGCCCCAGCGCTCGATGCACCCCCTCTGGGGATCGGGCACCGGCCTACGCTACAGGGCCACTACTTGCCGGGGCTGGGAATCACGGTCAAGCGTGCGGAGGCCGACGCGGTGCAAGCGAAGCTGTTGACCATCTCGGCGGTGTTCTCAGAGTGCGATGCCGATAGGCGTCGAGGTGAGGATCGTCGGGCTGCCAGTGCTGTAGGATCCTTGGTGTGGTCCGGCGCGGCCTGCCCGAGCTACCCCATCTGCATGGTCGGCGGCCAGTGCCCCGCGGAGTTCGGCGGCGGCGACGCAGGCGTGATCGTGCTCGACGACTCGGAGTCCGCCGTCCCCATCTACCTGAGCGGCGAGGAGGGCGTGCGGCTGGAGCTCGGCGACTGCGCTCTGGTGCCAGCCCGCGCTAGCGGCTTCGCAGCGGGTGTCGTCGGCGACGTGGTGGCGAATGGCGCGGCGGCCGTCTGGGCCGCCCCCGGCCCTTGGCTCGGCCGGGAGCAGCTCGTCCTGGTCGGCAACTGGGACCAGCCCGGCGTTAGCATCGAGGTCGGCGACATCGTGGGCGCCGTGATTCAGACCGACGGCGAGCCGGCCGGCGACGACCCGTCAGTGGCGCACGTGTGGCAGGATTGGGACGAGCTGCGGGACATCGTTGAGCTGGAGGTGCCGACGGACGAGTACTACGCCGAGCGTCTGGTCTACTGGCAGCGGAAGTACCCGAAGGCGGCCACCACCCTCCTCGAGCATCTCTTGGCGGTCGAGGGCCTGCTGGACGTGTGCATCGCGGCCGGGTACTCCATGGGTGCCGAGAAGTCCCTCGACAGGCTGGCTCAGCCCTCCATCGAGGCGCTCGGCGAGATCGTGGGCCGCGAGGGCAGCGAGGCGTGCGAGCGGCATCTGGAGCTTATCAAGAACTGGTCGGTGCTCGAGGACGTGGCAGCGCTGCGGCGGTTCCTCGGCACGTTCAACTGGATCCGCGGCCACTTCCCCAAGGAGGTGCAGAAGCCGCTGGGGATCCTCACGCAGCAGCTCAAGAAGGACGCCGAGTGGCCGATGACCTCCGAGAAGGTTGCGGCCCAGCGCGCCATCCAGCAGCTCGCGTGCGAGGCCATCCGCCTCGCGGTGATCGACATGGTCGGGGCGATCTCGAAGGACCGCCCGCTCGAGCAGGTCGCGGATTTTTGCCCCTACGGTTGGGGTGGCAGCGTGTATCAGCTGGCCGCCGACCGCCGCGCGCTCAACGTGCTGGCGATGTACGGCGGCTGCCTCAGCTTGGCGCAGAGCAATTGGCACCCCCGCCGGGGTGAGCTGTATGCGCAGCGCGAGACCAGGCGGGAGGCACGTAAGGATTTCGGTCGGCTGCCCGCCCTGCGCTGGACGGACCACGCGGCAGCGGTGAAGGACGCTACGGGCGAGGCCGAGACGGACTCCACCGTCATCCGCTGGGTTGGCGAGATCGAGAGCGACGGCAGCAGGCTGATGAATCTCTCGGGGCGGAGCGCGGCCCTTGGTGATGGCCCCTCCCGAGAGAACGAGGCCCACGGCAAGTTCCTGCGCGAGCAGGCTCACTCCCTGGCGAACATCACGATCGAGGACATCATCGGCGATGACTACCGTCCGGGGGAGGGGGTCCCGTGGGGCCTTGACGAGACCCCCGACGCGGCCGCCTTGCAGCTGGTGGCCGTGGCCGGGGCGGAGCGCGAGAAGGGCGACTCCATCGCGCTGTACCTGCCGGACTACGGATGCGAGAGGCGGCGGAGCGCAGAGCAGGCGCGGGCAGCTCGACAGCTGCAGCTGGCGGCGCCAGGCCTGCGGCTTCGCATGATCCCGCACGACCCTCCGCTGGCAGACGGTGCCGGCGGCCTGTGCTACATCGCGCCTCCTCGCTTCCCAGGTGATGCGAGTGGCAAGGCGCGGAAGCAGCTTCGCAATGACGTGCTGACCGCAGTGGCCGCCGTCTTGCGAGAGTGTGCCGCGCGGTGGCCCAAGGTCGTCATCGGGACGGGCCACGGCGGGCTGGTGGCGGCTGCAGCGGCCCACCCCAGAGTGGTGGAGGCCGCTCTCGCGCTGCGGTACGCGAGAGAGGCGGAGGGCATGCAGGTCGCGGAGGCGTGGGTGAACATCAGGGCGTTCGTGGCGATCGGGCCGCGCGCCCACAGCCCGAGCAGGATCGGCTTTGTGCGAGAGGCGTTTCCGGAGTTCGGAGCGGCCGCCCACGGCGACGAGCGCCCGGCCCCCCTCTATTTGGTGGAGGGCGCCGGGGCGCACCGCCGTTTCGGGCAGGACCTCGGCGAGGCGCTGGGCGTGAAGGTGTCGGCCACGCTGGGCGAGGTCCTCATGCAGGAGGTGGTCTCTGCCCCCCCGCGGCTGCTGGAGTTTAGCGGCGGCCGCTGCGCGTGCGGGCGGAGTTCGCTGGTGCTGGCGCGGTGCGGCCAGTGCATCAGGGCCGACCGCGAGCTCGAGGAGGAGGCGCGGCTGGCTGAGGCGCCGGAGGAGGCGTTCGGGGAGCTATCGGTTGTCGTGCTTTGTCGTGCCACAGGGGCCCGAGCCGGGCGTGGAGGTGGCGCTGGCGCAGCCGTGCGTGGAATTCGGGCTGGAGCTCGTCACGGAGATCGACGTGGAGCTGCTGCAGGCGGGCTTGCCGAAGGGCGCCGAGCTGGTCCAGCTCTTCGCCTGCGCCTGGCTGCTGTGGGAGGGCGGCGCGCGCCTCCCCGCGCTGGGCGCTACTCACGTGCATCGGCACTGCAGGGGGTCGGCCGTCAGCAACGGTGCGATCATCAAGGTGTCCTCCTACTCCTCCGCCTACTCCGAGGTCTTCGCGGGCGCCCTGGGGCTATCATGGTACCAGGCCCTCCGCGATCGCTTCGGCGGGCGGGCATCAGGAGCCTTCGTCGAGTTCGCGGACTCCGACTTCGCGCGCGGCGAGCGGGAGGCCTTCGAGGTGCCGGACGTCCTCGGGGCGATCACCAGCATGCGGGCGCCGGCGTCTGAGCAGGCATGCTCCGTCGGGCGCGTGGCATGCGCCCCGGAGCGCGGCACTGCAGCCTTCGACGCGGAGGTGGCGGACGGGCGCAAGCTGGAGGACGCCGACATCGCCATCAGGGAGGAGTACGCCGCGAAGGTGCGGGGCTGTGAGCCTGAGGCGGGGAGCGAGCCGTTCGAGCTGTCCAAGTCGCTTCGTGCCCACATCATCGGGGACCAGTGGAAGGACGAGGAGCTCGGGGCCGTCTGCATGCAGCTCCGCGCCGAGTCTGGCGCCGGCGACACCCCCGAGGCGCAGCGTCTCGGGGAAGACTTCGCGCTCGAGCAGTTCGTGACGGTGGGCCCAGGGGAGCAGCGCTGGCTGCTTGTCCTCCCTGCGTCTGGCGGCCCGGGCTCGGGTATATCGTGGAGGCGCTTCATCTTCCTCCACGTTCACGCTGGTCCGTCTGGGGGTCACAAGACGGTGGTCGCCACTCGTGAGTGCGCCCGGCGGCTGGTGGTTTGGCCGGGGCTCGCGGCGGACATCGAGAAGTGGTGCGCTAGCTGCTGGGCCTGCCTCCGATTCAGGAAGCAGACTACGAAGGTGCAGGCCAGCTTCATCGTGGCACGGCACCGGCTTCCGTTTCATCATGTGGTCATCGACGTGGAGGGCCGCATCACTCCCCCCGACGTCGACGGGTACGCGTACGTGCTGACCTACATCTGCGTGACGACGGGGGCCCCCCTGCTCGAGCCGCTCAAGCACCTGCAGCACTCCGAGGTCCGGCGCGCCTTCTTTCGGTGCGCGACTCGGGCCAAGACCTGGCCGATGCTGGTGAGTTCGGATCGTGGCAAGGAGTTCTGCAACGCTCTCATGGAGGAGCTCTGGGCACTCCTCAACTTCGCAGGCCGCTTCGGCACGTCGTGGAGGCCCTGCGAGCAGGCGGGCGCGGAGCGGTCCCACATCGAGTGTGCGAGGGAGATCGGCATCTTCCTGCACGACGTTTTTAAGTGTGCCCCCGGCCAGTGGGCCGAGCTGCTGCCGATCGTCGAGTTCGTGTTGTGGAACTCGCCCGGCAAGTCGGCGCTGTCGCCGAGGGACCTTTGCATGGGTTGGTCGTTGGCTTCGCCGCTGGAGAGGGAGCTGCTGCCGCCGGAGCCCCCCGTTCGCGAGGCAGTCTCCGACGTCGCGGCAGCGCAGTTCGAGCAGTTCAGGCGTTTGCGGGAAGTTTATCTTCAGCATCGGGCTCGAGCCGGCCGACGCAGAGCGGAGCTGGCTAATCGCACGAGATCGTCGAGGCGCCCGGAGGTCGGGGACATGGTTTTGTTCAAGGGCCCGAAGCTCTCCAAGGCCGTGGCCGGGCACGCTCCAGGCCGCCGGCCCCTGCGCGGCCCCTTCGAGGTCCTCTCCACGAAGGGCAACGTGGCCACGTTGCGGGACCCCGAGACCCAGCAGGTGCTCAAGGACATCCACGGGGATTTCTTGGTCGGCGTCCCGGGCCTGGTTGACGACACGGAGCGCATCGTGAAGTTGGAGGGGGACGACGGCCGTGGCAGGGCCTCTGCCGGACAGCTTCTGGCAGCGCGGCTGGCCCCTGGAGGCGGCGAGGTCGCCGAGGCGCTGGCGCCGCGCGTGAAGGCGCGGATGCGAGAGGTGAAGGTCGGGCGGCTCGTCGCTTACCAGGGCGAGGAGGCGAAGCGCTGCCGGGTGGGCAAGGTGCTGAGCCTGGCCGAGGACCTGAGCAGCGTGACGGTGCACGTGTACCAGGCGGCGGTCGACGGACGGCTGCAGGTGGTCTGGACAGCGGCGTACGACCGCCAGGAGGGCGCGGACTTCCAGCGGCAGAGAGTCGAGACGCTGGAGGCGAAGCGGGTGCTGGGTGTCGTGGAGCTCAACAAGGGCGTGCTGAACCTCTCGGCGGCGAGCAGACTGGCGCGGGCCGGCTGGCGGCTGGACGAGGGGACCGTTCGGCACGGCGCCTTGGCGGCGGCGGCAGTGGTGCCGGCCGCGCCACGGCTCTCCGACCACCCCTCGAGCCGCGTCATCGCGCTCGTCGCGGCTTGCCGTCCGCTCGAGGAGCTCGATCTGAAGATCGGCGAGGTCCAGGCGTGGGCGCACGGCGTTCCCCTCTTCGTGGAGATCTTCGATGGGGTCGGGAGGCTTTCGCAGGCGGTCCAGAGCTTAGGCGCAGCCAACGCGGTGTGCAGCGTGGTGGCCGGCATCGATCTCAAGCGCAGGACGTACGGGCAGCACTGGGACCTCAGCAGGGCTAAGGACCGTGCCCGGCTTCGCTACCTGCTCTTCGAGGTGCTGAGGCCGGCAGGAGCCCACTGGGCGCTCCCCTGTGCGAAGTGGAGCAGCCTCGGTGGCCACCAGCCCGACGCCAACGCGCACGCGCTGGCCTCCTTCACCATGGGCGGCCTCGAGCACCTCGACGGCGCGGGCTGCCTGGCCTCCTTCGAAGGCCCTCGAGCGCACGCGCTGGTGGCAAGCGTGGAGTGGCAGCAGCGGTTCGGGTCAGCCGAAGCGCCGCGCGGGCGCTGGCGATACGTGCTCCCCGACGGCTGCATGTTCCACTGCAGGAGCCCGGACGAGGAGCCCCTGGCCATGCAGAAGCCGTACGTCATCGTGGGCAACTTCCCGCTGGACTTGCTGGACGTCCAGTGCCGCCGTGGAGCGTTGCGGCCGCTAGGGCGCGGCCTCGAAGGCGTCGAGGTCGCCTCCGCGGAGCGGGGCGGCGACGCCGGGAGCTCCATGATCGGAGCCGCGCGGGCGCTGGAGGGGCCTCGCATGCCCTGCGAGCCGGGACGCGCGGCCGCTCCGGCTGCTGGGGTGACGAGGTCGGTGGACAAGTTGAGCGACGCTGAGATGGCGGAGAAGAAGGCGCGGCGGGAGCCGGCGGCGGCGGCGGCGAAGAAGAAGTGGGCCGAGCTGGCCAAGAAGGGTGACTGGGACCAGGTGCGGATGCCCGGCAAGTGCTTCAGGTTTGCCGAGGTGAAGGTTTCGCCGAGGCGCTCTGCAGAGTACAAGGCCAAGGTTCTGGAGGCGGTCGGGCTCGTCGGCGAGTGCGCGGGCTACAAGCACCTGGGCAGCCAGGAGCTGGAGGCGCTGAAGGAGATGATCAGCCTGAAGGCCGAGGCGTTCTGGGTGAAGGGCACCGCGCGGACGGTCATGCGCGGCTTCAAGCACGACGTGGTGACGACCGGCTTGCCTGTGCGTGGGCCGCCGATCCGTCTTAAGGGCCCGGAGGCTTCCATCGTCCGCGAGGAGCTCGAGGCGGGCGTGGAGCAAGGGCTGTACTCCAGGGGGACCTCGCCCTGGGGCAGCTGGGCCTTTCCGACCAAGGAGCACGCGAGCGGCCGGAGGCGTCGGACCGTCGTGGACTACCGCATGGTCAACCGCAGGATGGTGATGTTCGTGTACTACATCCGCCGGTGCCGAGACGTCAAGGGCGAGCTGGTGGGCTGCGCCTTCATCTCTGGCATGGACGGCGCTCGCGGCTTCAACCTCCTGGTCAACACTGAGCACGCGAAGGAGGTCCTGGCTGTGCTGGCGGACTGCGGCTGCTACCTCCCTGAGGTGCTGCAGCTGGGGCCAGCGACGGGGCCCTTCGACTTCCAGTTCTGTACCGACGAGCTGTTCACTGGCACCGGCCGCGGGCGCTACGGCTCGGTTTGGAAGAACTACATCGACGACTTCTGGGTCAGGACGGGGCAGTGGCTGAACGGTCGCGCCTACACCGACCGAGAGTACGAGGAGATGCTGGCGGCGGCATCCCCCCCCCCCGGCTGCCTCTCGCCCGCTGGGCGACTCGCTGGCAGCAGCCGGGTTCGCGGGGACCCGCAAGGCCAGCCAGAGCTACGACCACGCCAAGGGCGTGCTCGTGGGGCTGTGCGTGGCGCAGTCGGCCACGGGAGCGGCGGCTATGGAGGGCGGCGGCGTTGCCTTGGCGAACGGCCTCCGCATGCTGGTGGTGGCTGCCGCGGTGCGCACGGCGTCCTTGGTGGATGAAGGGCTGCGCGCGGGCGTGCAGCTGCCTCAGGACATTTTCGAGGCGGCTGGCGACCTGGTCCAGAGCGTCTCCTGGAACCTCAGCGGGCTCATCCACGAGGTGTGCGAGGGGGCGGTCCTGGTGGTGCGCGTCCTGGTCGTCGTGCAGTGCTGCTACGCTCTCTACTGCCTGCGCTCGTGGGTGGCTTGCCGTTCGCAGCGGGCGGCGCTGGAGCGGGCTGCCACCGCCGGCGAGGCGGCTCAGCGCGGACTCACGTCCAGCGCGCGAGCCTGCGAGGCCGGCGACGGGCCCGCCTTCGGCCGCGAGCCGATGGCCAGGGCGGCAGCCGCTGGGAGGAGCCCGAGCGGGGCCCTCTCATCAGCAGATGGCGCCGCCAGCCCTGTGGTGGCGCTGTGGCGCGAGGCGGAGTTCGAGACGCCCCTGCTCGGAGCGGCGGCACGCCCCCGAGCGGAGGTCCTCCAGATCCAGCGGAGCGCGGCGGTGGCGCTGCGGGACCTGGAGCACTCGGACCGCCAGCGCGCCGCGCGCGCGCGCGCGACCTGGCCGCTTGCGGTGCGGTGGTGTCCGCAAAGGCTGCGCGCAGCTCAGCAGTGAAGGACGCGGGCGACCTGTGCGAGTTCGAGGTTGAGGTAGCCGGCAGCCGCGGCGTGCGGTACGATGTGCGGCTTCGCGCTGGACGCTTGGCCGCAGCGTTGCTCCCCGCATCGTGCACCTGTGCGGACTTCGTCGGCGGCGTCGGCAGCCCCTGCAAGCACATCGGGGCGGCCTGGTGCTGCGCGGTGGACGGCAACTTCAGCGAGCTGGTGGAGCTGGCGCTCGCGGCTGGCCGCAAGGAGGGAGCTGCCGCTGGACTTCAGCGACGCGCAGCCCTGGCGCCGAGCGACTCCCTTGGCCTCGCGGGGGCCGTGCGGGAGCTCCGCGACTCGGAGGCCGAGGTCGTGCGCCTGCGCGAGGAGGTCCAGCAGCTGAAGGCGCAGCTGGGGGCGACCGCCAGGCGCGGAGCCGTGACCGAGTTCCTCTCGGCGTCGGAGACGCTGGCGGCTTGGGCGCGGGCTTGCGGTGAGGCCGAGAGCTATGTGTACGTGGCGTGCTTCACCTTCGACCAGCCGGGCGTGGTGAACTACCTGGAGGCGGCTCGAGCTCGAGGCCTCGCAATTCGTTTGGTGTTCAGCGGCCGTGACAAGGCCCTGACCAACAACCAGGGGCCGCGCCTGCAGCGGCTCCGAGCCTGTGGGTGCGAGGTGCGCGCTCACAAGGGCTCGCGGCTGCACGCCAAGGTGATGATGACAGAGCGTGAGATTGTGCTGGGCAGCTGCAACTTCACGACTGCCAGCTTGGGCAACGTGGAGCGCGGGGCCAGCCTGCAGGAGCTGTCCGAGGAGACGGTGCTCGAGCAGAAGGAGTGGTTCGAGCAGCTGTTCGAGGCGGCGGCGCCCTTCAAGGACGGGATCGGCGAGGTGGTGCCTCCGTCGCCGGCCCGGTGAGGGCGCCGCGGGGCGCTGGAGGCCGGCTGGGCGCGAGGCCTAGCGGCCGTGGCGCTGAGGCGCGGGGCGCTGGAGGCCGGCTGGGCGCGAGGCCTAGCGGCCGTGGCGCTGGGGCGCGAGGCGCTGGAGGCCGGCTGGGCGCGAGGCCTAGCGGCCGTGGCGCCGGGGTGCGAGGCGCTGGAGGCCCGCCGGGCGAGAGGCCTAGCGGCCGCGGCGCCGAGGCGTGATGCGCTGGAGGCCCGCCGGGCGAGAGGCCTAGCGGCCGCGGCGCGAGGCGCTGGAGGCCATCTGGGCGAGAGGCCCAGCGGCCTTGGCGCCGAGATGGCAGGAGCGCGGCATTTTGCTGCGCCGTCGACGCCCGGCAGCGCCGGGAGCTATGAGCGACTGCATGGCGCCGAGTTCGGCGACTTCAAGGAATTCATCGACTTCAATTTTGTGGAGCGGCACGTCGCGGAGGACGTGCCGGGGCGCCTGTGCCGCGGAGTGGTGCCCTGCTCGAGGAGAGGGGCACGTGAGGAGCGGCATGGGCGCACAGGCGGCGGAGTGCGGGCCGGCGACGACGGCCCCGGTGGCGACGGCTGCTTGCCCCGCGCTGCCGCGTGGCTCAAGAGGAGAAAGGCCCCCCTCCTCCCTCTCCTCGGAGGCGCGGGGGAGGCGCGGGGGCCCGCCCGGGGTCCGAGGGCCCGCGAGGGCCCATAGGGCCCGAGGGCGGCACCAGGAGGCCGCTCTCGAGGCCCTGAGGGGCCGAGGCTCCAGGTGAGCCTCACGTAGTAGTAATAGTAGTAGTAGTAGTAGTAGTAGTAGTAGTAGTAGTAGTAGTAGTACTACTACTACTACTACTACTACTACTACTACTACTACTACTACTACTACTACTACTACTACTACTACTACTACTACTACTACTACTACTACTACTACTACTACTACTACTACTACTACTACTACTACTACTACTACTACTACTACTACTACTACTACTACTACTACTACTACTACTACTACTACTACTACTACTACTACTACTACTACTACTACTACTACTACTACTACTACTACTACTACTACTACTACTACTACTACTACTACTACTACTACTACTACTACTACTACGACTACGACTACGACTACGACTACGACTACTACTACTACTACTACTACTACTACTACTACTACTACGACTACGACTACTACTACTACTACTACTACTACTTCTACTACTACTACTACTACTACTACTACTACTACGACTACTACTACTACTATTACTACTACTACTACTACTACTACTGCTACTACTACTACTACTACTACCACTACTGGTAGTACTGCTGCCACGACTTTTTCATTGCGGGTACGACCACGACGGCCGATCCGCCACATCTTCAAAACGTACAGTGCTGACTCGCATATCGGGGATACCCGATTCTAGAGTGATGCGAGATTTTGGGCGACCCCTTAATGGGGTCGCATGTCGTAGGCGTGCAAAATTAGAGTTCGCGGGGCTTTTCAGGATCATTGAAGGGGTCTCGCCCGGAGAATGTCAATTTTTCTGCCCGAATCTGCTGGAGCCGATTAGAATACAGAAGTCTACCCGGAGAACCATCCGTCCTCCCAGGGAATTTCTTTCTTCCCCCAGAGAGCAGACCTTGTACAGGGGCACAGTCTAGGCCTTTCCGATGGGGTCGTGGTAACTGGGGACGGAGAATCGCGCCGCATCGCCGATGCATCGTCGTTTCCGCCTGATGTGGAGCTCGATTTTCTCCACGCGGCCGCCGCCGCTGCATCGCCGACGTCGCCGACGTCGACGATGCATCGACGATGAATCGGCGATGCGGCGGGATCCCCCGACCCCATCCACTCCGACCCCATATGGGAGGCCTCTCCATTGGGGGGGACGTATCGACGAATCGATTCCCAATCGCCCCATGGATTGCCGATGGGCCCGATAGCTCCAAACTGCCAAAGAGCGTGCGGGTGATTTCAGGAGTGAAAGAAAGCAGAACGTACACGTATGTGCATCCACGTCCGTTTCAAGAGTACGTATTGCGCGAATTGTCGTATCACGCGGCTGGTCTCGCAGTCTGGGGGGCTTTGCTCAAGTACATGGTTGAGCGCGTGCGTCCTTCTTTGGGTTCTTTACTGTCGGAGGCCGATCGCTGATCTATCGGCGATTAATCGGCGATTCCATGTCGATGTCCCCCGCCTTGTAGGCCAGACCAGTCCACCCTTTTCGTTGCCCTTCAGGAGCGGCGGCCGCAGCCTTCACTCGGGCGGAGGTTTCGATCGGACGAGACCAGCCCGCCTTTTATAACGTTACCCTTCCTTCGCTTTCCCCTTTTTGACCTTCGTCGCCACCGCTCCATTCGCCTCGAAATCCTGATCAGAACGCACTCCGGGAGAGGTCCGGGGAGTAGCGGTACTGGTACCTTTTGGATTCCCCAGGACGGGGCTAGGACGAGGTTAAATTGGTTCCAGAACGCTCCGGAATGGTTCCAGAGCTTTCTGTAACGCTCCGAGAAGTCTGCGGCGCCCGAGGCATCTTCCAGCGCCGCCTGGATCTCAGAGATTCTGGATTTCTCCTTATCCAAACTGTTCCTCGTCCTGGCTTCATCTTTCTCGTGGGAGAGTGGCTGCAGGCCTCCCGAGTGGGGTCGGAGGGTCGCGCCGCAAACCGCCTGTGCATCGGCGGTGCGGCTGAGTGCGAAATCCTGTTTTTCCCACGACGAAGTCGCCGATGCATCGCCGACGTCGATGCATCGCCAAAGCGTCGGCGACGCATCGGCGACTCATCGGCGATGTATCAGCGATGCGGTGCGATCCTTCGAGCCCATCTACGAGGCCCCTTCGCGACAGAAAAGAACTACGATTGGAGGGTGCTGGCAACACTCGGCCTCTTGGGAAATTGGGCTCCGGGCTCCGGGACCGTTAACAAAAACCTCAATATGAAATGCCGGTCGTTGGGAATGGGCCGAGACCTTTGGAGGTCGACGCCGTGAAAGAAAATATTGCCTTAAGAGTTGCAAAGGCGAAGAGGCGGGTTGGGGAGCAAGAGGTCGAGACACGGCCACGTGCACCCTAGTGGTTTTTCTATAAAGGATCGTGGCCGTCTGGACCAAACATGTAGCCAGCATTCAGGCGAGAGCACGATTCTCGAATGCACTGTGAGGATTTCTCGGGAGGGAGCAGCTATGAGTCACAGTTATTTTTCAAACACGTATTGATGGAGATCGGCCCGAGTTTTTTGGATTGGCGCTGAGCCTCAGAGGCGGGCGAGCTGAGGCAGCGGTTGTTGGTCTTCGGGCTCGGCGGGGAGCCCTCGTCGCCACGGCTGGACGGAGCCAGAGAAGATTGGTGCGTTTGGACCCCGCGAGGGGTCAGGGGACCCATGCTGAGCTGTCGTTATCTCAACTCGCCCTATCTGCTATTAGTTGCGACCCCCTAGCCCTGTGGGTCCAATCGGTGCTGGGGTATCGGACACCCCCGCTGGAGTTCACCTGGCTGCAGAAATCATCGAATTCTGTGCCGCAGCTGGCGTTTCAGAAATCTGACCTGAAGGTGTAGGGTTCGCATGTACAAGCAAAGGCATAAGCATACACTTTGGGAGGTCGGCGCGGGTTTCTCAGATCGGCGCTGGTCCACCACCCGCTTGCGCGCGAAGATCGCATGGGGGGCCCAGCGCCGACCCGAGAAATCCAGGCGGAGTCTCGGAAGTTGATGTTGATGTTTGTCCCAACCATCTTGTGTTTTTTTCGTCCTCGTTTTGCAGAGAGCGCCCCTGGTCATTCTTTCGGCTGCCTCCCCCTGCTCCCTCCTCCCATCTCTGCCTCTGTCCTCCACGTGTCCGTTTCGGCACACCCCTCACACGCTTCGTGGCCCCATAGGGACATAAGGCCCAAATGGCAGGGTTCGCGCATGTGGGCGTCACGCTCGTTTCGGCACACCTCTTACACGTTTCGTTGACCCCAAAGGATCTTCACAAGAGGTCCAGATGCAGGGTTCACGCATGTGGGCAGCAGGCTCGTTTCGGGCCCCAGAAGGAGCTCCACAAAGGGCCCAAATGGCAAGGCTGGCATGTGGGCGTCACGCCCGTTCCGGCACACCCCTCACACGTTGCGTCACGCTCGTTTCGGCACACCCCTCACACGTTTCGTTGTCCCAAAGGGAGCTCCACAGACGTCCCAACCAGAAGGGTTCGCATGTGGGCGTCACGCTCGTTTCGACACAGCCCTCGCACGCTTCCTGTTCCCATAGGGAGCCCCCCCCCTCCGGCGTCCCACCCGCCTTGCGGCATTCACAAATACATATGGTTGCGTCCTTCGCCATGAGTTTCTGTTTCTTCATCGAAGGTCGCGCAGTTCCCTCTCGTCGTCCTCGAAGACCTCCTCCACCTCGTCTGGGAGCTGCGCGCCAGGCGCAGCGGGCTGCGTCTCTTCCGTGTGCCTGCGGCTGGACTCCGCGAGCAGGGGCCTTCGCGTCGAGGACATGGTGCTGCACTTCAAGGACGGGCACTTGGCGCCACGCCTGAAGGATGCCGATGAAGAAATAGCGGCCTAAACATACACCGTCGGAGGTCCGCGCATATCTTTTGGGTCGGCGCTGGGACGCCCCTGACCGCTCCTCCAGCGTCGCCCCTGGCTTGCTCCGCGCGCCAGGGAGGGGTGGTCCCAGCGTCGATCCAAGAAATACGCGCGGACCTTTGGGAGTGTATGTTTACGCAGTTCTTTCTTCTCCCAGGATTGGGTTCCACGGGAAGTTTTGAATGATATCCTCAAGATCTACCAGGACCTCGTGAACCAAAGAGAGTACGCAGGTTCGGAGGAGCAACGGGTACTGATACTGCTACCCTTCCCTTCGACACCACGGCTGGATTTGCCTCGAAATTCTAGTCAGAGCACACCCCAGAAGAGGTCCGGGGAGTAGCAGTGTTGGTACCATTTTGTCCCCCCCGCAGGTGGCGAGGAGGCGACGGCGGGTGTGGACTTTGGTGCGGTGCGGTTTTCCAAAAACGGAGACACGTTCCTGCGGGCGGAGTGTGCAGAGCTTGCGGCCGATGACCCTACGAAAGACCCACGCGATCCTGGCGACGATCCTGGCTGCTTCAATCCGATCGTTCTCATGAAGCTGACCGGGGTGTCGAAGTTTCGCATGCCTTGGCAGAAGGGGCTGCAGATGCTGCCCCCGATCGACGAGTCACCAACGGATGCGGCGGGCCAGCACTGCGGCGCGCCGTCGCAGGGTGGCGACGTGCCGACGCTCAAAAAGAGAGCGGGCAGCTTGAAGAGGACTGCCGAGGCCTGAAGTCAGCCTCCTGTGTCCCCCTATGCGCTTCGCAGGTCTGTCAGCACAGTGCGGCTTGGTGCTCGTGATGCTTCCTCCCACCATCTTTGGCTTTCGTTGATCAAACAACTCAAAGCACATTGGCAATTCAGAGAGAGCGCGTGCGACATGTCCAGAAGTGACGCGCCCTAGGCGTTGCCGTCGCCACGCGCACTCTCTCTCTTTTTAGACCCCTCCGGGTGATTACCCTCGCAGCAAAAAGCCTGTGGAAAATGTGTCGGTGTACACAACTTTGTCGCCCGTCGCATGTGGAACATATGTGGCGGGACACTTCTTACAGCCTGGGGGGGCACGCATCGTTGCACACTCATTTGTCACCCGCCGCATGTAGAACATGCGTGGCAGGGCACGTTTTTGGCCATCTCGGCCGTTTTTTGAGAGCCGTTTCGGGTCGCAGGGCAGTTGAGGATGCTCGGGACGGGGCCGTGCTGTGTATGATGTCAGCGTGTAGGCGCGACAACGAGGGAGGGTGCTCCTGTAGGGTCTTACCAGAAACGCAGTCAAACAGCCCTGGCATCATACAGCTCCGCTTACAATGAAGGCAGGGGACACATTCGTGGACATCTGGAAATCTACAATCAATGACTTCCAAGATTTTACATCAAGTTCGCCATTTATCCATTAAATTTGACTGAGCACGCTCCCTGAGGCAGTCCTCCCCCTTCCCCCGCTTCCCCTCTTGGAACAGCTCAAAAGGAAAAACGGTTACTTGTCGTGAGCAGAAGCGTTGAGTAACGTACAGCAGCACAGACAGTGGGGGCGCCCGTCAAACCCGCGCTGGCTGGGATAAGCTCGAACAGCCTTTGCAAAAATTGTGCTCGGCAGTTGTTGACATGTGTCGGTATGCCGTTAGGGTGCTGTCGTGCCGAGCATCCAAGAATCCCGAAAATTTGGCTCTTCGATCTTCGATCGTCTACGACGGCGGCGGCGGAAGGTGCGCGGCATCTGCAGCATCGCTGCACACCGCGCCGGGCTGCCCGCTTGTCCGCCTCCTGCTGACCCTGACCGCCCGGTGCTGGCCACAGAAGCTTGTAAGCCAGCGCCAGGCTGCCCAGATCCTGAGTGAGGCCCGCCGAGTGCTTGCTTCCTCTCGGCGACTACAATGGGTGTTGTTACGCCGCGGTGTGGCTTGCGCTCGGCGCCGTTGGGGCTTAGGGGCCACCACGTTGCGTCAAAACTTTGATTCACCCTCCTCGGTGGACGGCAGAGATCTCGTTCGCCTGTGCCTTGCATCACGCGATCCAGTCTCATCCATAGCGGCGCCCCGGCGCCCCCCTGCTATGCCCCCGCGGCACCTCGATTGTAGGCCGAATGTCCGAATGTCCAGTGGACGGCAGAGATCTCCGTCACGGTCTTCGCCCGCCACCCACCAGGCGTAGGCTGCAAACCACACCCTTTGCATATCTTCGAGGCTTAGAGGTTGGCACCAGCACCAATATCGACGGTGTGCCTCCTCTGATGGGATCTGTTTCCGACCTCGGCGATGGCATTAATGTTTGGGCTTCCTAGATGGCCGAAACATTATCATTAAGACCAACAGCGAGGACCATTCCCACCCCCCTATGGACGCACCCTTCTTTCTTGTTCCTCCATGAGGCAGGTTTTCTTTGGATTCTGGAACTTTGCTTGCATGGAGGGGTGTGTGTTGGGGGGCGTGGCTAGGCTCGAAAGGAAATCAGGACTCCGCGCAAGTCGGGGTGGACTTGCACGCCTTTTCGGCCCAGCGCTTTGTAAAAAGTCGGCGGATGGGGGGGAGATGTCATGCAAGCAAGCTTGCTCGAGTCTAAACGAAAACAGCCTCCAGCAACTACACCCCTTGGCGTCGTCCATCCTTCCTCGCCTTTCTTGACCCCGTGCATTTTTGTTTGGCGCGGGCGCGACCACACACTTTTTGGGGTACCCAGACGCCCCTGTCGCAGGGCGCGGGGCCCTTCGAGCGGGTGGTAATGGGAGATGACTTCAATGGGAGGTGGAGAAAAAGAGGCCCCCCAAAGGCCTTGAGGGCACCTTTTGGAGCCAGCCAGGGGCCCGCACATGTGCCCTGGGGGACCCTTTTGGGGTCCTCTTCTTCCCCCCTCGTGCAGGCCACCCCCCCTCTCCGCCCGCCCGAGGAGCCCCACGGCGCGCGCGCGCCCCACGAGTGGCCCCTGGGGTCAGGTGCGCTCCGCGCGCCCCCGGCAAGGAGGGCGCGCGGCAGGCTCGCGTCGCGCCGGCGCGGCGGCATCCCGCCGTGGGCGGTCTTCGGGGAGCGGCTGACGTCGGCGGCGATCGAGGGGGGGGGAGGGGGAGTGCGAAGGTGAAGGCCTTCTTTGAAGGCGGCGGGACTTCTCAGAAGCCCTCGCGCCTTCTGATCAGTTTTCTGTGTCTTCGGGGAAGGCTCAGAAAACTTCTCAGAAGGCCGGGAGACTTCCGAGCTTTCTGAGTAGGCTCGCCCATTCTTACTTCCCCCCTGGGCTCGCCGCCGGCAATGGCATGAACATACGGTCGGAAGTTGTTTGATGGCGTAGCGCTCTGCCAGTTCTGACGCACTTCGCTCTGGAGCGACACGCTATCTACTTCCTGGTCCCGAGGCGTCAATGTGTCAAGCATTCCCAAGCCTCCCGCCCCTCGTGATGCATAGCGTGTCGCGGGGCTGGCGACACGCTATCCACATGTTCCCGACCCCAATCTTTCGTAGGTCCGCGCGGATTTCTTAGATGGGCGCTGGGACCACCCCTCCCTGGCGCGCGACGCGCGCCAGGGGGAGCCATTGCCGATCCAAGAAATCTGCGCGGACCTCCGAAAGTGTATGGTCATGTCGTCATTAGTTCCCGGGTACATGCGGACTTAGTCTGAGATCCGAGGTGGGAAAAAACGGTGACAGAACGCTCGAATCTTGATCATCCCTCCTCAGGCCCCCGCCTCCGCGGACGTGCCATCGGCCCGGGGCGAGAAACCTAGCCAGGATGGATACCCAGATGAGGCTGTTTGTTTCGCCAGACTCGAGTGAGTTTACTCGCGCGGCTGTTCCCCCCCTACCCTCCTTCCCTCTTCAGCTGCTTTTTAAGCAGCGCTGGTCCGAAAAGGTGTGCAAGTCGATCCCGGCTTGCGTGGAAGCCAGATATCTTTTTCGGGACTCGCCACGCCCCCCCTCCATGCAGGTAAACTTGCCAGAATCAAGGGCACAACTGCCTCCAGGCCTCGGGCTCCTTGGGCGTGCCGTCGGCCCGGTGCGAGAGGCACCCTTTACTTAGATAGGGTCGGCGTTCCGCCCAGGCGGGTGTCTGACGGTCCCTGGAGCTCGCGACCGTCCACCAGACCCCGACCCCTTGGGGTCATGAGAAATTGCGACGGGAGTTGTTGTTAATGCTGTTCTTGTTGAATTCTCATTCCTCAAGAATGAGTGTTGTTGATCCCCCCTCAGGGGGGCACATTTCGTTTTTCAACTGAAGTGCCCTTCCTGGGGCTCGCATCCGTTTTTTTTGTTGGGGGGGGCAGGGAAAGACTTGAGTCTCAGAACTGTGTTGTTGGCCCCCGGTTTACAGCAACAGCGGCTCCCGCCTGACACTGTTTCACAATTGATTGAAGAATCGCATTCTTGCGTGGATTTTCCTTGCACTTGATGTAGGAATTGCGCTCTCGCGTTGGACTTCCTCGCAATTTGTTCAGACGATGCGCCCTCGGCGCTCAGGAATCATGCTCTCGCGTTGGCCGTCGACGGCGCCGAATGTTAGGTGGGGCTCCCCCGGTTCGAAACGCGCTGCCGAATGTTCCCACGGCAAGCGCCCGTGAAACGCGTTCTCTCCAAGATCCAAGTGTAATATCGTGTTGAACGTTGGGAGAATTATGGCAAGTCGGGCCGCTGCGGTCTGGGATGCCAGGAAAATCAATATACAATTTGGAAACTATTCTCCCTGCCCCGCGGGTCGAAATCGTATTTGCTCTGTGCATCCCCACTCCGCAAATCCATCCGCAATGCCAAATGTAACAAGCTGCTCATGGAGGGGATATCCGTCTTTTTATCCAAGGCTTGAACCTATCATCTACCAGTGAAAGGCCAACTAAAATGTCACAATTCCTTCGCTGACCATATATGAATAGTGGTTCCCAGCTTGCGCCGGATCTGTGAACATTGATTACTTGGCCTTCGAAAAGCGACCAGAGGGTATAACACCATTGTCCCGCCACCAGTCGTTGATGGCGGTTATGAGAGCTGCGTCGGGCGTGTTCGGTATCAAGTCGTGCACCGCAGCCCGCAGAGTTGCTCTCAAGAATTAGCTGTCGGCGCTTAAATGATTCGTGTGCGTTCAATCCAACCAAGTGATCTGTATGGGCACCAGAGGTAAAACACAGTTCGTGTGGTGTACTGGTTCGCTGGTAATCACGGAGGGAGACCCAGACATGTGATGTCCTGTTGTTTTGGCTGTGCGAGCCAGGAAAGACCGAACACTTTCCCCAGGACAAGCTTTTCATCCAGAGTTGTTTTTTGGAGGTCCCAGGGGCGAGCGCCTCCAGACGCCGAAAGCTATGAAAAACTTCCGTTTCGAATTCTACAAGACGCGCATCAGCGTGCTTGGGGAGACCTGGGAGGGGCCAATGCAGGTCTGCGCCCTGCCCGGGGAAGCGGAGTCTTTGGCCGTGTCGGACTACACCGACACTTCGGTGGTGCTGACCTGGGCGGCGCCGTCGGATACTGGCTGCTCGGGCGCCCGCATCACCGGCTACCAGGCATCCACCTTCTTGTCCTCCGCAACCTCCTACTCTTCCTCCTCCTCCTCCTCCTCCTCCTCCTCCTCCTCCTCCTCCTCCTCCCCCTCCTCCTTCTCCATGGAGGAGGAGGGCCCAGCCACCTCGCGTCGTGTAGAAAAAATCGCGGCGGGAGGCTTCCTGCTACTTTCGGCCCCTGGGGGGCTCTCGCCAGTCCCTGAGGCAGTCAAAAACGCCCCGTGCTGGTCCAGGGGAATTGCTCAAGTTTTCCGCAGGTCCAGATTGCGAGCAAATCTTGATATCGAAGGTCTGGGGCATGAGGAGGATCGAGGATCGATCATCGCTCCCCTCCTCCTCCTCTCCCACCCTCTTCCTCCTCCTCTTCCTCCTTTATCCAGTTTGCTTATGGGCAACTCCTCCCTCTCGCACTTCCAGGCGTGTCCGTAGGGCACCCTCACCATCTGTGATCCTGAAGCTTGAAGGTTGCAGCAGCTTCAAGGATGGAGGGCGTTTGGTTTCTGGTCCCAGCGCCGCGCACATTCTAGATAAAGGCTTCCAACAGCATCAATCATGGATGGGGGCGATTTCAAGATGCCGCTCTCGCCCCAGCGACACGCACATACTTCATACAACCTTGCAACAGCTTCAAGGATGGTGTGTGTGTGTGCGTCTGTGTGTGTGGAGCTGTGTTTCAAACATGTGGCGCTCGCTTCTGTGCCGCGCACATTCGTCCCATAAACTTGCATCAGTTTCAGGGATGAAAAGGGGGTGTTTTCCAACATGTGCTCTCGCTCTATTTCCGCACACACTCGCTCCAATATTTTGCAATCGCTTCAAGGATGGAGGGTGGCTCATTTTCAGACTAGGACGCTCGGCTTTCTCCATGCAACGTTTAGAAAGAAGGATGGCTGTTCTGTTCAACTGGTGGACGGCAGGGGTTTGTGGTGTTGTTTGACCAGGTGTTTTGTTCGCTTGCGACGTTATCCATGTCACAGAGCCGAAACGTCAACGAATGTAGTGCTGCACGCATGCAGGGCAGCCCTTGTTTAAGTTGGAGTCGCCGTTCGAGGTATCATCAAGTGCGTGACCATACACATGATTTTGATCAATATGTACGCGGATGGTGGTGCGGTGCTATTCCGAAGCAAAGGGCTATCGTTGGGCACCGCGTTGGACAACATGATAATGGTTTGTTTAGTTTTCCTGCGAACGCTCTGCGAATATTCAATGCAATGTGTGTTACAGTTGCGAATGCGGCAAGGGTTCCACTAGTGGTCATGATGGACCACGCTGGGGTGACTTCGAGAGGAAGGAGACCTGACTCTTGGAATCGCCGTGTCGCTTGATATTGCCCTCACACTTGAACGCCTCAGAGGTAGGTTCTCCTAAGATGCCCGTGCGCATTCGGACCGCAGTAACCGTTTCGTTAAACTAGAGGCCGTTTCGTCTGAGACTATTTCCGGATTTTATATGCAGGTTGGCAGAACCAGTTACGCTTGCTACTTCTTGGCGATTCACGACTGCTGAAGTCGTGTCTAGGTTCATACCTCACCGCGCGTGAGCCACCGCTTGTTGGGAGACATAGTCGCCATCATCATCATCATCATCATCATCATCATCATCATCATCATCATCATCCGCACCACCATCATCATCATCATCAACATCATCATCAACATCATCATCATCATCAACATCATCATCATCATCACCATCATCATCATCATCATCATCATCATCATCGTGATCACCGTCATCATCATCATCGCCGTCGCCGTCTAATCATGGCCATGGTCATGATGAGCATCGTTGCTGCTATCAGTGTGTTTGCTGGAGTACGTTGTGCACGTCTGGGCCAATTTGGCCACAGCGGGTCCATCGCCCTAATGGCAGTCCAAATTGTTCTTGTGTTGCGAGGGGGCGCTCATAATAGTGGTAGGATAAGTTTCTCATGTTCGCTACATGATGCGCCCATACAATATTTAAGCTTGTGGGTGTGTAGAGGGAAGGGACTTGGGTCAAGAGGGTGCGTTGCTGCATCGCTGGTGCACCATTGGTTCACTCTGGTCGTCGTCGTCCTCCTTCTCCTCCTCCTTCTCCTCCTCCTCCCCTTTACCTCCCAGAGGAGGATTGAGATGAGAAGGATGAGGATGGGATGGAAGCTGGAGAAGGAGTTGGAGGTGCAGACGAGGGAGGCAGGAGGAAGGACGATCAGGATTAGAACCAGGAGTCGAACGGGTAAGGTGTGCTTGGGGGTGGGATGGAGGAGGAAGAGCATGGAGGCGGGAAGGGAGCAGGAAGAGTATACAGCAGGGGAGAGGGAGGACGGATGATGGGGGAGAGTCGAGGGGGAGGTTGGAGGAGGAGGACATGGAAGGGGGGAAGCGGGAGGAAGGGAATCTATGTTTGTGATGGTGATGGTAATGGTGTTCGTGATGATGATGATAATGATGATGATGACGTTGTTGATGATGATGATGATGATGATGATGATGATGATGATGATGATGATGATGATGGTGATGGTGATGGTGATGGTGATGATGATGTTGATGATGATGATGATGATGATGCTGATAATGCTGGTGATGATGGTGGTGAGGGTAAGGGTGAGAGTGGGGGTGAGGGTGAGGGTGATGATGATAAGGAGAAGGAGGAGCAAGAGGATGAAGATGGAGGAACAGAGGAGGAATGAGGGATGAGGCTCGGCGGAGGGATGGCTCGGAGGCGGCGACGAGTTTGGAGGAACGCGGGCGTCGCTTTGCTCTGCAGACGCGACGCCGTTGTCTGACGCGTCTTCGTCAGGAGTTGGTCGCGAGTGGTTTCCGAGAGAACGAAGCGACAGCTCAAGGTTAAGCTGAACGGTGTACGTGCACTTCTGCTTCATCTCGGTTGCCGCGCAAGAGATTCAGCTCACGCTCTGCAGTCGACTCTGATCGGTGCTGCTATATACTACGCCGGCGAAGCGAGGCTAAGATCAGCTAGGCTGTTCCACTTCAGAACTAGCCCACAGCGGACCATCTGAGGGCGTGCTGGAAATCTTGATCCAGGAGACAGCTTCTGGGGGGCTCCAGAGAAGGTCACGCAGGGGGAACAATGGAGCGCGGGACGTCTTCAAATTTGTGGCCAGGGCCCCAAGACGTTGAAACTACAGGTGAAATGCAGGCGACGATTGATAACATGAGGGCGTACCGCTCAGTGCAAGTGGCTCGGTGGCGGATCAGAGTCTTAGCGCGCACGTGAGCATCATGTGGGCGAGCATCTGTGACCGGTTCACTATGGCCACCATACGCGTAGTGACAATGTCTGGAAATCATTTGCCCATGCGCATACGCAGTATTTCACGCGCACAAGTGCACGCGTGAACGGAGACGTAACATGTTCGTCTCCCTATTTGGCGCCGACCCGCTGTCGTGGCTGCCCCACATACCTGGCCGTCGTGGGGACTCTTGATCCAGTTCTTAACCAGCAAGTCAGAAGACCCATAGGCAGGCTAATCAATAATACATGTTTTGAGGAGGTGAGGATAAGTGCCTGCGCCGCTGTGGCGACCAGGCCAGCGCGCGGGTTCCTGTTTCGCTCGATCCCTCCCCCCCTGTCCCCTGCCTGCTTGTTCTCCGTCCGTCCCCTCCCCGCCCCTCTCCCCATACCGTTGGGTACATCTGCGTCTCTCTCCACCTCTCGAGTAATTTCGGCGCCCGACTGCCCGCGCTGGACACGCTCAGCAGCCAGGGTCGGCGGGTTGATCTTCAGCTCTGCCAGTGTCGCCGTCGATACGGTCTCGATTCGATGGGCGCCTTATCTTTGCAGGTGTACATGGCGCAGGGGGCAAACCCGTACTCGCTGGTCCACGAGGCTTGGGCTTTAGTGCACTCGTTTGCCGCCTCTTTTACATGCCGCGGCTCCTTCGGCTCTCTTCCTTATCCTGCCTCTTCCTGGCCATGGGCTCTGATCCATGAGGTGTGTCGAGGGGCAGTGGGATTCGAGTCACACTGCCGGAGAGGCGGAGAGAGGGGGGAGGAGGAGGGGGAGGGGAAGGAGTCGGGGGAGAAGAGAACAAGGGGGAAGAGGAGGAGAAGGAGGAGGCGGAGGAGGAGGAGGAAGCGGAGGGGGAGGAGGAGGGGGAGGAGGAAGGAGGAATAAGGAGAAGGAGGAGGGTCAGGGTGAGGGAGGAGGAGAATCAGGCGCCGGCGGATGAGGGAGAATAAGGTCCTCTGCTCCCCAGCCAGATCTGGGGATTTGAATTTTGCATGGGGTTCCCATGGACGTTTTCATTGAAGGAGTGGTTAGTTTCCAACCCTTGTCCTAGAATGATGCCTCCGCAAGCCTGGCATGGTAGCATGGTAGAGTTGTGTGTTGCCCGACACCAAGTGCCAATGGGGACTCGGCACATACATACATTTCACCATACCAGTGCCATGCATGGCCTCATATGCTTGCCGATGGTGAAGCTAGTTTGCGAATGTGTCGGCCACCCCACCCCTAGCGGGACCACGCTTTTGAGCCGATTCCGTCACTGGGGCCTCCGAGTGCTGGCCACAGGGCCACGCCGACCGATGCTCGCCCTCCCTGGGGCCCCGGCGACGTGATGTTGTTCAGAGCTTGGATCCCCGAAGGTGTCGACCCCTTCTCCGGGATTGGCTTTTCGTACCGAGCCGTGGTTTGACGGTTCCGCGGGGCCCTGCGAGGGCCCTCAGAGGCCAGAAACCGCCAAATGTTTCCGCAGCCATTTTTTCACGACGCTGGGGGGGGGGTCCATGTTGGTTGCCTGACGAGCCTCCCTTCACTGTGGGTTGGCTGCCTTGCGGTCATGGGCTTGACTTTTGCTAATCGTATCGCGCCGCCGGTTCTGGCCCACCACGCTTCGGCTAGGCACGCTGTCCACGTCCCAAACGCCAAAGTCCCCAGCCTCCCCCAGCCCCCCCCATCGCGGAACGGAGCGACATGCCATCCGCTCGCAGGACATAGAGCGTGTCGCGGGGGCCGCGGCCGAGACATGCTAAGTAACATATTATGATTATGGATCATAGCCCGTTTCCATTGTCAGGGGCCCGCATGCCGGCATCGTACTCCTCTGGTCCAACGGGGGTGTGCAGCCGCCGCGAGGCCGGGCCCTCGGTGCTCTCGCTGACGCAGTACGGGCTGAGCGCCGGGCAGTCGTACTACTTCAAGGTGCGCTCGCCTCGGCGGCGACGATACGGGCGGATAGCCCAGGGGCGGGCATCCCATGCATTCGATGGGAGCCTCGCTGAGGACATAGATCATCGGCGCCCCTGGATACATGTATTGCTCTCCCCTGGGCTATTCAACCCCATCGCCGCCCCCGATCGCCCCAGGAGCGTCCGCTTCTATCTCCCGAGCAGATCGGGGGGCCCTCAAACAGTGTGGTGGCCACACCGCGTTAGACAGTAAGTCACGACAGTTTTCGCTCGTCTCTGATTGAATTAGCGCCCAATAGCGCCATGCGAGGGAGATGTGCGATGTCCGCTTTGAGCGCGATCGGGCGCGCTATTGGGCGCCATGGGGACGACCAAACCATCCGTGAGATGATTTCTCACACCGTGTGGCGAGTCAATGGGGAGTCGGGGTGGCCGCACGATTGTGGAACTTGGCTCGTTCCCCGAGGACGTCTCGGGCGCTGGGACCTGCAGGGTCCCAAGACCGTGCAGCGACGGAGCGTGCGGTGAGGTCTTTGGGGGATACGAGGTCACCGCACGGTCTGTCTCTGCACCGTTTCGGGGTTCCCAAGCAGAGGAAGCACGAGGAGGCCAAGTCGGTCGACGACCAGGAGTGCTACACCGAAGATCGGTGTATTGTGTTGTCCTGGCCAGGCTGGGGAGGCGTACATGTATACCGACCTTGGGCCCAGGAGTGGCTTGGCCCGAGCCGGTGTCGGAGCACAGATGGCGTCGCCCTATGAAGTCAGAGGGGTTGGGCCATATCGCTGGAGGGGGCGCCAGCACAATGGCGGTTCTCAATCAGCGGCCTGGGCCCAGAGGCGGACGGCGCGAGAGCTCGAAGATGATCGCGCCTCGTGCGACACGCAGCACGGAGCGCGAAGATTGGCCACCCAGGTCAGGCCGTCTCCCCTTAGCCCCCTTCTGTGAGGCTCCACTGACGAGCACCCAGCGATGCTGTCTCTGCTCGGGGAAAGACCTGGCCGCCCTTCAGAAGCAGAGCAGAGCAATTCGCAACCACAAGATCGGCATCACCGATTTGTCCGATTGGTGGTTGTGCTCCCACCAGAAATCTGAAGACAATCATCGTTTTTCATGGACTCCATATCCCGTCCCAGAGAATCGAGAGTCTGGAATGGACCCTGGGCGAATTCTCGTCCATATCCTAAGATGGGTGTCTTGTTACTACTCGGACGCCTCGGCTCCCACTTCTCCCGCCTCCCTCGTACACTCATACCCACCAATGCTCAGACTCACATGCATTCACCACACTCAGACTGATTCATACTCGAACTCATTCACCCTCAGAACTCGCAATCAGGCTCACTCATACTCTGACTCACTCATGCGCATACCTAGTCATACACAAACGCGCTGCCAGTCGGATTCATTGACGCGCAGGTTCACTGCAATATAACGTGCGCAGCATCAGGTTTTCTCACTCTCACTTGGTGGTCCAATGCTCACAGCTACATATGAGGCGTAGCACTCGGGCAGCTCAAGGGGGTGCCGCCAGGGGGTATCTCACTCCTGCGATCGTGCCCAGGTTGTGGGAACGTCTCAGGCGGTTTGCCTGTTTTGTCGGCTAGGCTCGACTGCGTTCAGGACAGAGTGCGAGGTCGTCTCAGGCGAGGCGATGGGTTCATTACCTCAAGGGGGAGCCGCCATGGTGGTATCTCGTTCCTTCGTTCGCGTCCAAGTTGTGGGGGTGTCTCAGGCGGCTTGCTTGCAATAGTTGCCAGACTCGTCTGCTCTCACGGCAGGGTGTGAGGATGTGCTGATCTCAGGGCCCGGGGAGGCCTTGGTATGTCTATATCTGTCGTGCATGTGCGTGTTACCTGTTATGCATGTGCGTGTTGACGCTGCAGCATTTTGGCTTGCCACAGGAGTGGAAAAGAGGGTGCAGGTGCTCCCTCCTCGAAGCCCAATCTGCACTGGTAGAGCGGAGCGTGCCGCGCGATAGCAGGCGCTGTCGCACCGGGAGGCACTCGGGTGAGTGCCGGCGGGACGCAACTAGAAGGTGATGAACACGGACAACGGGGGCTCCGGCGGCGCGATCAGGAGGTTCGCCGGGAGTGGAGTCGACGCCTTTCGGGACTACCGATCCTGGAAGAAATGGGCGCGGGCGTACCCCATCGTGCAGAAGGCGAAGGGGACGCCTGCGTCGGCCCTAGGGCCGATGCTTTTCACGCTGCTCGACGACGTCGCCGCCCGAGCACTGGAGATTATTGACATGGACGATCTGGAGCAAGAGGGCGGCGAGCAGCACATATTCGACACACTCGATTCACGCTTCCCCGACGTGGCAGCCCACGACAGGCTCGGCGAGGCGCTGAAGGAGGTGTTCACGATTCGCCTGGCCAGAGGGGAGTCGATGGCGGCCTACTGCGGACGCGCTCAGGCGGCGTTCGCCAAGGGCGAGACTGAAGGCGTGGTGCTGCCAGACATGGCGCGCGGGTACCTGCTGCTGCTGGGAGTGCACATGGCGCCGCAGAACCTCGCAGTCGTCCTGGCAGCGTCGGGCCGATCTGACAAGGAGAAGGACGTGGCGATGGCGCTCAGGACGACCTACCCTAACGGCTTAGCGGATTTCGGCCAGCAGTCGAAGGCGTTCGGAGCGAACGTGGCGGTAGAGGAGGCCAACGAGAGCGACGACGTGGCAGACATCACGGCATTGCTGGCGGGTTTCGCCATGATTGAGGATACTGAGGACGGGGACATCCTGGACGAGAGTGAGGCCATCGAGATTCTGGTGTCCTGGCGCGACCAGCGCAACAAGATAACGAAAGAACAGCTGGCTCGGGGCTTCGGCCCGAAGAGGCCGGACACGCAGGCGATGGCGAAACGAGTGCGATGCTACAACTGTGACGAGGTCGGTCACTTCAGCAGGGACTGCAAGAAACCACGACGTCAACGCAGGCCGCCACCACGGGACCACAAACACAAGGGCAAGGACGGCGAGAAGCGCGGCGACGTGGTCACGGTCCTCGAGAGTGACTCGGACGAGGGCGTCTTCGTAGCCAGCGACGGCGGGACCGAGGACGTCGACGAGGAAGAGACCTTCGAGTGCGACGTGTGCGAGAACGAGTTCCAGCGGCCCCTGCATGGCGGCAACCGCAGCTACGACGACGAGTGCGACTGCGAGCCGGCGGTCGACGAGGAGGACGAGGATCAGGACATAGACGACTTGTACGAGGCGTACACGGCGGCGAGGGATGACATGGATGATGTGATCGAGGCGTACCGCAGGCTGATCGCGGTGCCCAAGGACGAGGTCTTGCCAGAAGTGCTGACGGCGTCAGCACACGAGCCGGGGTCGGGCGTGGTCGACACCGGGTGCGGCAAGGGAGTCATCGGCGAGGAGACTCTCAAGGAGCACAAGGTGGAGATGGAGAAAGCTGGACTTGCAGTGAAGACGATCGAGCAGACGAGAGCGACGACTTTCCGATTCGGCAACCAGGAGACACTGGAGTCGATCTACACCGTGGAGATGCAGTGCCGAGTGGGCGGACGCCTCTTGGTGCTTCGCCTGTGCGTCGTCCCAGGCGGGACCCCGCTGCTGGTGAGCAAGCCCATGCTCAAGGCCCTCGGCGCGCAGCTGGACATGGAGCGGGGCGAGATTCGGCTCGCCCGGATCAACGTCACGGTGCCGCTCCGGGTTGCGGCCAGCGGCCATTGCCAGCTGAACCTGTGCGAGATGACGAACGAGGGCGGCAGGAGGATCCAGACGGCAGAGGTCGACGTGATGATGACGACTGAGCAGGGCGACGGGATGACGGCGGAGGAGCAGCAGGAGCTCGAGGAGTTCGTCGCAGCGGCGTCGTCGGGTTTTCGCTAGGGCCGAGCCGGGGCCCTGAGGCTGACGGCGACTGGGACGACACCGACGTCCTGTGGTCAGAGGGCGTTACCGATATCATGAGCCGGCGGGCCAAGCGGACGCTGGTCAGGGGTGTTCTCGAGGCGCAGGCCCGGCTGGGCCACCGACCGAAGTGCCTGGAGATCTTCTCGATGCCGCGAGTGACCCCCGTCCTAGAGTCCATGGGGTTCCAGAGCCTCGGCGCTTTCGACCTACAGAACGGTTGGGATGCCCGTCGAGCGGATGACCGCCACAAGATTCTGCACTTGGTCGACGTCGAGGAGCCGGAGTTCGTGGGCATGAGTCCTCCCTGCGGCCCCCTCTCGATTCTGCAGAACCTGACTGTGGAGGAAGCGCGACGAGACCCGGAAAGGTATCGCCAGGCAGTCAGGGAGGCGGTCGGGTACTTGAGGTTCTGTGTGGTGGTGGCTCGGAGGCAGATCCGAGGAGGTCGCTACTTCGCGCTCGAGGCACCGCCGACGGCGAGATCCTGGGACTGCGCTTCGGTCCTGAGCCTGTGTCGGGTGGCGGGAGTGCACCGCGTGTCGGTCAGTGGGTGCCGAGTGGGTCTGAGAGATCCGGTGACAAAGAAGCTGATGTCCAAGGAGTGGTGCTTCGCGACCAACGCGGACATGCTCAAGTGGGCGCTGAGGGAGCTGCGCTGCCCTCGAGATCATGAGCATCAGTGGTGCTGGGACAGCTCGAAGGGCACCAAGAGGAGTGCGTTCTCGGCGAGGTACCCGGAGGATCTCTGCAGGAAGATAGCTGGCGCCATGGCAAGTCAGCTGGAGGTGGACCGCGTCTTCCAGGTGGCCGACGTTCTGACGACGACCGACGACGACGAGGTCATCAAGCGGCGGAAGCTCTCGCTCGAGGCGCCCCTCAGGAGGCTGCACGCCAACCTCGGCCATCCGAGCAATGAGGACATGGTCAGGATCCTGAAGCACGCCAAGGCAAGTGAGATGGTGTTGGCCCTGGCGCGGACGTTCCCCTGCTCGATCTGCGAAGGACGGCGGCTTCCCAAGGCCGTGCGGCCAGTGAAGGTGCCGTCAAAGATGGCGCCATTGAGGCTGGTTGAGCTGGACGTGAAGGAGTTGCCAGGCTGGAAGGAAGGGATGAAGGTGAAGGCCCTGAACGTC